AATCGATATAATATTGTTTATCGGATCAAATCTATTTGTTACTAATATTCATCTTAATTTGTACAACTTCAAAGGGGATTCTCTCAATATTTCGATTTTTTTCAATTTTCAGATTTTCTATCTTAAGTACTCTGGGAAAGCTTTTTATTCATCTTTTAGATGGTGTATACATTTCAATTTCTAACAATTGACCAGACTGGTTTTGTGATACATTGTCACATATGGAGGATTCAAAAACCCTTTATTAGCGCCTCCAGTGGCCGTTAAGTGAAATGCAGCCATAAAATACCCGCTGAACGTTATTCAATCCTTTTCCTTCATTAATCAAGTGGTGCTCGCTGCAGAGCCATTTGAGGAGAGCTGAGCTCCAGCGAGGGGGAGCTTAAGCTTGAGCTCCACCTTTTTTGCACTTCTTCTACGAGTGATGTCACTGGGGGTAGGGTTAGGGGTGGGGTTGGTGTACGCATTAAAACAGCTTACAGGAGGAGGAGTGACAGCTCATGCTCCCCCTCGCTGGAGCTCAGCTCTCCTCAAATGGCTCTGCAGCGAGCACCCTCTCTCATTAATCCCTTTATTCATCAGGGGTCGCCACATCTGAATGAACCACCAGCTTATCCACCATATGTTTTACGCAGCGGATGCTCTTTCAGCTGCAACCCAGTTCTGGGAAACATCCATACACACATTCAATTCACCTATGTCTTAGGACTGTGGAGCACCCGGAGGATGCAAACATAGGGAGAACATGCAAACTCCACACAGAAACAGTGTTGCTAGATATAGCTGACAGATGTAGCCCAAAAACTATCCAAAGCCCGACTGAAATGCTAAGACAACCGACCAGAAAACTGGAGGCTATGTTAATCGGTGGGGGCCACAGTGGACGGTTTACATGAATCAACATTCCCCAAGAACGTATAAGTACCATAATTAACCCAAATACTATAGTTTTCATTGGTGGTCCTGTTGCCAGATGCTAAAGGCCTGTTAAAGGACAAAGGATGTTAAAGAAAATACTTGGATAACTTATTTTTAGGCCTTTCAATGTTATTCAGGATGCACACGCAGCGAGGTTGCAGAAAAAAAACAGGAGCGCTAGCATTTACATCGAGGGAATGACATTCGACATGGTACACAGTTTGTTATTGTATTAGAGATAAGTTATATTGATTACATATTATTTATATATATTATTTACATAATGCTTTCAGCATATTATAACAGCTCGTCACCCAGTATTAAGCACAGTTATTCTGCAAAATTAACGTTAAAGTGAGCGGCGTTCATCTGACAAGTCCATTTGCGATAGCACCCTCCCAATGGATATTGGATAAGACGAAATGGTCGAGCATCCAACCCCAAATATACAACTATCTCACTGAAACTCCAAGTGATTTTACAAGAGAGAAGTTAAAGGTCTACAAGTCTTTGGATGGCAACAGTTTTGTTCTGTGTGGTCATGTGCAAGAAATAATGTTCCATGATCACCACATTCAAAACTTTGTAGTGCTAAAAACTGATGTTCTGCCTAGCCAAGCAAGGACAAGAAAAGAAGATGGAGCTATGCAAAGCCTGGGTAATTATCAACAAGCAAAACAACTGCATTCTAACAGCGAGCTGCACCTGTACGGCAGGGTATGTGAATTTACATTTTTACATTTCATTCTTGGCATTCAGTGTTCGCAGTTTAATTCACCATATTTAACTGTTTTTGCTGCAATCAAAAATTAGTAATGTGTATGATTCAGCTGCATAATGTGAACTTACCTGACTTGAAATGAGAACTGCAGAGTCGAGCATTTTTAATTAGGTCTTCACTCCATTCAGCTCCCTTTTAGCCAAAGACGTCTGCGATTGGCATTAAAAGCAGTGTAGTATACGGTAAAAGTTCAGTTTTCTATTTTTCAAATTTGGCATCCTACCGCACAACCAACCCATTCCCACCCTGAAGGCTTCAAAATCTAAAGCATGGTGGAGCACCTTGCGCAGCAGTATGAGGACGCTGAAGGTGCCCCTTAGCATCACTATACCGATGCAAAAGGAATTCCATTACTTTCAAGGGGTTGCCTTGAGGCGTCATATGGAGACGCTCAAAGCCTCGTATAATTACCAATAGATGTCAACGCAATTTTTTAAACCTGGCTTACGCCTATTATCGCTGTTTTCTTTGTTTTGTTCATGAAAAATGTCTGTAAACAGGGACAAGATAACTGTAAATAAGAATATACTTCAGTCAACTTGACTTCCATTCAATGGTGAGTTTAACATCGCTCAGCTATTGGTCAAACTGCATCACCGGTGAGTTCACCAATGAGTTCAACTGTTCTCCACGAGGCATATGAACTATGAACGTTACTAACTATAGGTTATTTCTCAGTTTCCTGTAATGATGGAGTGACAGGAGAGATCAGCAGATGCATAGCTAGCTTCAGTAGATGTTATTTATGCTCAAAATGGCATGATGATCCAGCTCATCTACAAAGACATCAAAATGTTTCAGACCATTCGAGAGGAAGCTGACCGTTTTTATTTTTATCATTTTTATTTTTACCTGCCAAGATGACTACCTATTTGAACAAAACACACTCACACAATTTTTAATTTAATAATTGTTTAATATAGTATTAATTTGTCAAATTATTTATATTTACATAACTGCAGTGCAAATGTCTAATTACTCGAAATGAAATATTCCAGGGTTTTTCCTTGTTCAAAATGAGTTGGAGGTGGTATCCCATTCACAAGATCTTTGCTACTTGAAGCAAACACATTTTGCATTATTCTTGTAAATTATTTAAAAAACAAAAACATTATCTTAATTAAAAAGGCAAAGGTAAAATTAAATACAGCCAGTGCTTAAGCATCAGTGGGAATCTGACGGAGGGTGATTGCCAGATTTTTGTCAAAAAACAGAGGTGGTACACTTGATGGAGGTGGCACCTCATAATTCTCTATGCCAAAAAGGTGCATATTTACATTAGTGCAGTGCAAGTATCTAAAGTTATTTATATTTACATTTAGTGCAGTGCAAATGTTCAATCAAATTGTTCTGTTAATTGTTTAAATGTTCATATTAATGTATTAAACATGAATGTTTATTATATTAACAACTTTATATTCCTGCCGTGCAGGCAACACTGAATAAATTATGTACAGTATAAGTGTTTATATCATATGTTAATAGGTTTATATTAAGAATAAATGCAACTTCATCATAACCCATCAAATGTTATCTCCTCTTTAATCTTTTGCTCAAGCCTTTTACTAACTAGCAGAATGCAAGCCATTGTGTAAAGCTGGTTGATGCTCGCTGTAATAGAGAGAGAGGTGATGACTGTCCAGCTTGTGTTGCTTCACCCTGAGGATGGGATGCTCAATGTGGACCTTCAGCTGAGCGATGAACAGTGTCTCCCTCATCCTCATGTTAGAGGATGGAAGTTGTGGACCTAAGTCAGATTTAATACATGTACATGTATAAATTAGAAAGAAATTAAACTATTTTAAAAATGTATTAGGTTTTGTATAAATTAGAATGTTTAGTTTTAGACAGCTATACTTTGATTTGATCAAATTAAAGCTATATATATATATATATATATATAGAAACGAATACTGCAATTTATTAATGTTCATGATAGTTAATACTAAAGTGTGCGGTTGCATTCATTAACAGAAAGTTGTATTAGCTACAAAATAAACAGTATAATACAATTTATTATAGTGTGGTTCAAAAAGCTTAATAATATTTACTATAATATACTATTACAACTGCTTGCTTCGAGTGGGTTAAATCGTGCCTTTAAAACCGTATAACATTACAGAAAGCAGCTCTTACATAACTCTTATACATAACCGTTTCCTATAAAAACTACAGGACCACCTAACTTAACTTAGCTAACAGTATTGAACCGAAATCATTATTAAAAATAATAACTTACCCTTTGATTGCGCGATGCCTCCAACAACGTGTGCAGACAGTGGTCCCAACGTTCTCCTGTCAGCTGATACGTGATTGGTCAGATTTGCATTGTGGGCGGAGCTTCTCTGTGGAAAAATACAGAAGTTGGCGGTTGTGTATTTCATTCACGCTCGTTTTCGGAGGCAAATAAAATGTTTTTTTTCAGGAAATTTTTGTTTGACTCGTAAATATTTCCTGTTTGACGAATCATTACTGTTCGTTTGGTGAACCAGAGATTCGTTTTTTAATCAGGGTCGATTTAAATACATTCACAGGTAAGAGTTGTCTTAGCATTTCTTTTGCACTTCAAATGTCAGTTATTGGCGATAAGCGCTTGTATACACATGAAACACGAGATATTATTGTGTATAACGTTATCCATTAACATCAGCAGATCTACCTTATCAAACTCCATTTACATTGCAAATACAGAAGTAATGTGATGCTGAGATTAATAAAATGGCGGTATGTCCACTGATTCCTGTTTGGCTTGGTATATGCCGAGCTAACGTTAGTGTTTTTCCCATACTGATAAACTTCCGGTGACCTGTTATTGTGAACTTTTTTCCATTTTATACGGTTCCTTTTACAGCATCGATGTTGCAATGTCATTAAAATACATTTAGTTAAATAAACTTTGGCATTCATTTAGTTGCTCGAGCATAAAACGAGACAAAAAGCCGTTTACTCGCACGCGCCCATCAGAATTGGCAGGCTAGAGCAGAAGCTCCATCGAATATACTGGGGTAAAATAAATGCTCATATTATAAAGACATGGCGGGGGAAATGTAATTTAATGCAGTGCTTCTTGTACAATCTGAGACCCACTTTATATCAGATATCACTCAGCCAGTGGAGATCGCTGATTTTTAAAGAAAACAGACCTTAAACGTGGTGGTTTTTGCATTGGCATACAGTTCGCCGGAAGCGCTCAACCCAAGTTACTGGCAAATTAAAAGTCCCATTAGCATGCTTCGGCATATACCCTATTACTTGTTCATTATTTGTTACGTTAATTGACAACAAAGAGAAGAAATTAATGTTAATTAATGTTCAAAATTGAATTTAGACTTATTTTTCACATCTGTTTGTTAAAGAATGACTAAAAATTATATTTATGTATCAGTATTATAAACTTAACTATTAATGAAGTGTCTGAATTCTGTAAACATTATACCTGTGTGGTTTCGGTCAGTGACCATCACTTTCTCGTGTTGGATTTTGAGGAATGGAATTTAAAATGCTCTCAAATAAAGTACTGAAAAAATGTGTGGAATGAGAATTCGAACTGGTTGTAAAAGGAACTTATCTAGGAAGAGTAGGACCCCTAGTGTTTATCTCTGCACATGTCTGAGTCTGTAAATCATTATAATGGTAAACATGGCTGTTCTTGGTTTAATAGGATGCAGAGGAGATATACATGGAGAATGTGATGCGACTGAAAGAAGAACAAACCACCCAAGTACTACAAGTATGTAGAAAGCAGATTATTGCATGCTTTTTGAGATTTGTTTCTGAATAGTCATTACAGGGATCGTGATGTGGATTAAAAACATGTATTTTAATGTTCTTACATGTTTACATAAAATAATAATAATAGTAATAATGATAATAATAACTGATGGTTTAATCTCTGACTTCTGACATTTTTAATGCAGACCGAGAGTATACTTTCACCGGCCACTTTATTAGGTACACCTTACCAGTTGGGTTGCATGGTTTACCGCTACTATAGTATCGCAATACTATAGAGCTTCACACACCTAGGGTAGTAACGGTATGAATTTTTTACGGTATGATAATCGTCTAAAACAATACCACGGTTTGACGGTTTCGCGATACACGGTATGTTACAAATGTTACAAAATAATAGAACAGTGAAGCAAATTTGACTTTTTCCAAATAATATATTTTTAGTTACTATAAACAACACCACTTACAATGAAAAAATAAAAAAAATAAGAAAATAATAAATAATGTGTCAAAGTCCAAATAAAGTCCAAATAAACATGGTGCAAATCCTCAGTAAAAAAATAGATATAAATATTTACTATACTATAAATAGTTACATAACAAAACTAGATTCAATATGGAACATCCTTAGGTTTTATGTGCCAGCATGGATATGGTTGTCTGGATATGGATTTGGATATGGTTGTCTGCAATGCAGACAAACAGCTGCACCTTCATTTGTGTCTTTTGAAAACAGCAAGAGCAGCAGTTCGTCTTTGCTGTGTCACTGTTTTGTCATGTTTCTGTGCTGCTGTGCATGCAAAAGTACTAAGTATGAGAATTATTTCATGCAAAACTTTTTTTTTTGCGTTTGATTTAGCCACGCTTAAATGTATGCCTATCTCTCATTCCGTGTTGTTCAAAAAGCTCATTGTTTGGTCCACAAACAAAAGCGAAACCTATGCTTATTGGTTGTGATATAGCGAGTTTGAACCAATCTGGGCATGGAGGATAGACAATGCATCAATGTATCATGTCTGGTTTGTCCGGAGACACAGTGACGAGCATTTCTTTGTCAAATCAGCGTTGTCAAATTTTGATGACGTAACCGCACTGATTCCGGAGCCTCCGCGAATGTTATGCGATACAGCACTGGATTCTCTTCTTTATGCCAATCTTTGAATTGTATGAATCGGATCAGCGGATCAAAAGTTATTAAACATTAAACATTTAAGAGCAATACTTATTTTTAGCCGCGGGCGGCTGTCTCGGTCTTTAAGGGTTAAAACCGTTGATATGCAATTGTTTATGGTATGATAATCATGCACGTTCAAATCGTGGTAGACCGTCATACCGGTATATTGTTACAACCCTACACACACCGAATGTGGCACTCGGCACCGCGAAACGCAGCGCACTTGACAGTTGAAAGTATCCCACACCAGACGCACACATTTGCATGCTATTTAAAATGAAACTTATCAGATGGCGCTCTGTGGAGCAGCAGAAGTATGAACAGTGTCCTGAGTAGTGGCTGGGCGCCACAGACAGCCACCGACATGCGGCGCCGGTGTGTGTATCTGATAGAAACCTATGTTTAGAATTCTAAGATGTGTGGTGCTACACGGCACGTCACCGAGCGGCGCTTCTGGTGTGTGACCCTCTTATGGCTATAAAATTCTGGCGGTGCTACTTTAGTTTGTAAACGGGGGTATCGTCATTAACTGTCTGTCTACAATACATAATATTGCGTGTTTAAAAGTCACCTAAATGCTCACACACTTGTGCAACAATTAATCATATTATTTTAATAGTCAGTTGAGCTTTTTAAGGTTGCAAAACTGTGTATGGTAGCCTATTGCACATTTTATGGTAGCCTATTGCACATTTTCTGACATTTCAGTTCAAATGTACATCGGTTCATTTCTGTTCTTGTCAATATGATTTAGTAGCTACAACAACAGTGACAATTTCTCAAAAAGAACGATTTACAAAGTGAATAACAAAAAATATACACAGCAATAGTGCAGATACAATTAATTCATTAAGTATTAAAAGCCATCTTAAATAAGTGGGTTTTTAGTCTTGATTTGAATAATGTGAGGGAGTCGATTTTTCTGATGACAGATGGTAGTGAGTTCCAAAGCCGGGGAGCAGAGCGGCTGAAGGCTCTATTGCCCATAGACGATAGACAAGCAGAGAAAACAGACAAGTGGAGGTAGGAAGGAGGGTGCCGATTGTGGATGGCTTTGAATGTTAACATCAACATTTTAAAACAATTCGAAAATGAACTGACTTTGGATTCTTACCTAAATAAGACCCATCCACCTCAAGGTCGAGTGTTGTGTGTTCAGAGACGCTCTTCTGCACACCTCGATTTTAACAAGTGGTTATTTGAGTTACTGTTGCCTTTCTATCAGCTCGAATTATTCTGGTCATTCTACTCTGACCTCTGGAATCAACTAGGCATTTGCGCACACAGAACTACAGCTCACTGGATATTATTTCTTTTTCAGACTCTTCTCTGTAAAGCCTAGAGATGTTTGTGCATGAAAAAAACAGTAGATCAGCTGTTTCTAAAATACTCAGAGCAGCCCGTCTGGCACCAACAACCATGCCACTTTCAAAGTCTCTTAAATCCCCTTTCTTTCCCATTTTGATGCTCAGTTTGAACTGCAGCAGATCGTCTTGACCATGTCTACATGCCTAAATGCATTGAGTTGCCGCCATGTGATTGGCTGATTAGAAATTTGCATTAACGAGCAGTTACACAGGTGTACCTAATAAAGTGGCCGGTGATTATATATTATCTGGTAAGAATCCAAGCATATTTAAAAGATGTTACACATTTTCCCATAAATCTTTATTTAATAGTTTTGATAGCTGCCATAAGAATATCTGTGTACATGCCACATTTTTATCTCTGTCATTCAGAAATATAACAACCGAATTATTGCAGAATACAGTGAGGCTGCACTGGTATATTTTTATGCGCAACCTTTGAAAATTATAAATGATTTAAATAATGATCATTTGTATTGCAGAGATTTTATTAACACTTTTATTAAACTGTTAACATAAGAGTATGCTCACAGCATATACAGGATAATAAAACAATACACTCAAATTCAACAAGGTATTGCAAATTCAATTACAGCCTCTAGTAATCTAATCTAACTCTGTCATTTTGTATGCATGGCCTCTATGTTTATATAAGCAAAATAAAACAGTCATTCACAGTTAATCAGCAGTCTGAGATGTTCTAACCGTCTGTTTATTTCTGATGCTGGGATTCTCCTGATGTTTGACACAAATAAGCTGTTTAAAGTTTCTCTCTTTGTTCTGTTTTTTTAGCAGACTCAAGCGCATGGAGAACATTAGAAACTGGACACATTTACCACATCCACAGTAGACATCTTCAGTCATTTTCATCGCTTGTATTTATTTTCAGAGGAAATGCAGGTAAAAAAACAACAACTATTATTCATCTTAGAGTGTGTTCCTGATAAGCATTAAAGCATTTCACTTTATTAACACTCCTGATAACACTGACTGTGGCTAATAAAATGAGTACACACACCAAATCAAAAATCAGATTTCTTTGTATTTCCATTGCTATGACTGAACTTTAAATAGATTTACATTTAGCAGACGCTTTTATCCAAAGCATGAAGATAACAGAAGCACTTCAGATCACCAGAAAACAACAAGATGTAGATGCAGTGACACGTCTTGGTTACTTTAGCAGTGTGTGTGTTTATTATTATTTTGAAATAAAGAAGCTGAAAAAAATATTTAAAAGGAAAAATAGGAAGTGCTATTGTTGGAGGATTAGATCAGTGAAACAGATCAGTGTTTGTGAATGAGAGAGTGTATGGGTGTTTCCCAGCATGGTGCTGTATTGCGGCTGGAAGGGAAGCATTTTTACACTGCATTAGTGCTACTGATTCCATCACATGTATGCTTGTACACAAACACATTCAGCTCAAAGACGTTAAATCCAGCTAATCTTATGTTAATGTTAAATCTACAAATGTTGTCATTTTGTTCCTGAATGATTTGAAACACACAGTAATCAGCAGTAATCAGCCTTTAAAAAAGAGAAGAAACTTATTTTTGACAAATGTGACTTTATTTCAAACTTCAGTACAAAATTGATAATTGTCATCAGTTGTGAGGCTTGTCGCCCCAGACTAATGTCAGTTTTTGTCCGTGTTCAGCTCAGCACCACCTTCAAGATGGGCAGTTTCCAGTGGCACCACGTGGAGGAACGGACTTCGCCACCTATATATACAGGGTTTGGATTATCACTCACCATAAACTACAACTACATACGAAATCACTAGTCAATAAATGATGTCCTTCAACCATCAATCATATAGCACATTAGCAAAACATTAAGACTAAAGAAGGCTGTATATGAGGACAATATCAAAGCAAATACTAAAGGTAGTAACTTTATTCCTCTTCAGAACACAAATGAAGATATTTGACTGAAAATAATGAAGATCTTTTAGTTAAATCTGAGAGCTCCTTAATCCTTCATAGACAGCAAGATTCCTGACTATGAGAAAACTTTATGTGGACATAAAACAAAAATAACTTTATTCAACAATTTCTCCCCTCAGTGTCAGTATAGAGCACGCGTTCACGTGTTGCGCATCTGACATATAACCTTGGATGCGCCTGTGTTTTTTTAAGAGAGGAAGTCAGAGAGGAAGTCGCGCAGGCATCCAGTGGGGTATATGTCACTGCACAGTGCTTGTGAACGCGTGCCCTATCATCACACTGAGGAAAAGAAACTGAATAAAAAAAGTTTGTTTTATGTGAAGGCATATGATCTGTTTTGAGGAGGTTTTTGTAGACTTTGAGTCTGGATGAGGGAGCTCTAAGATAAAGATAAAAATAGTAAAAATAGTTCTGAAGATAAGCATGAGAATGAGTAATCAATAACATAACTTACTTTTTAAAAAATGTTTTGTTTATTATTATTATTATAATTTTGTTGTTGTTTTTAGAAGAATTTCTGATTGGTCAAAAACATGGCCAGTAATAGATTTATACTTCAATATGGGCAGTTTTTTATTGTTTTATTTATTAATGATTTTTTTTTTTTAATTAAAAAAATTCCTGTTTTTAATTTTATTTATTTATATTTTTTTTACTTTTTAAATATTTTATTTATTTATTTATTTTTTTTCTAGTTTTGTGGCCAGATTGGCTGGTGAGTGATAATGCTCATTGGAAACCCTGTATATATATCAGTTGATCCCAGTAATCATTGGTCAGGAGTCTCTCTCTTCTGGCTCAAATGAAATTTTTTAGAGAGTGACACCCAAAATATATGGACCTGGACTGGGAACGACTGAGATTTTTTTTTTATTATTATTATTTTATTATACATTTTATTTTAGCATGTGGAAGTGTAAGAGTTAGTGCAAAAGCTGATATTAAAGGTACACTATTGTGTGTACACTATATGAAGGTCTAAACTGTTAAGTTATTATTATAATTTCTTTATTTACATGAATTTTAATTAGAGCCAGTTTAAATGTTGAAAAATAGGAGAGATGTAACAATGCAGAACCAAATTATGCTCAGCTTTCTCTCTCTAAGGTTGTAATGGATAAAGTAGTATTTAGCTAAAGGACTATGGTGGCGTGGTTAGACTGGCTAGATCCACCTATTAAATATGGACATCTCTCCTCATTACCGCTTGGTCTCCGCCTGAAACAAAAACAGTGATCAGGTTTACAGCTTTAATGCATTAAACAAACAACATATAATTAAAATAAAAGCAATAAATGTCAATTTAAAAAAGGACATTTAAGAACACAAGACTCGTCTGACACTAGCTGGGTTTCCATCAGCCTGTGTTAATGCACCTTTTTAAGCATCACATGAGAAACAAGTTTAAATAAAAATCCCTTAATTCACAAAATGTTTTTATGCTCACTTGAGGTCATTTTGGACTCATGATGGAATTCATGATGGAAACGCATCCAAGTGTTCACAATTCAGTATAACAAGACTCAGCCCAGAGGTGTGTGGGTATGGATTATAAAGGCTGTGTAATCGGTTCATGAGGGGCTCTCAGCCATGAATGTGTGTACTCTACTGAATGAGGAGCAGGTGCGTGTGAGTGGTGCATGACTGGAACTTGTAGTCCATATAAGGGCGGATTTGTAGTCCATTAGCGATCTGGTCTAGATTTATCAGCAATCTGCCAGGATTAGATTGCTTGTGACATTTCTTAATTATACTCCTCTGTTTTACTGTTGGTTACGACCAACTTGATAGAAATCAGTTGCACATTATTCACATTTATAATCACAAAATATATATATATATATATATTTAGTGAACTTTGAAAAGATGCGCTTCACATTAGGATGGAAACTCAGCTCATGACAGATTAATTTGACTCAAAATCCTCAAAATCTATTTATTACCTTAAACCAGTCATGGGTACGGAGTGCATTCAGCTTATGCCGAAAGTTGTAGTTTTTCTGCAGACAACAGCGGATGAAATCACCGCATTCTGTGTAGAAAAAAAAGGAAGAGATAGATGTAATTATTGCCTTAAATTGTAAACTTTTCATTGACATTCAAATTGTCCTACACAACCATCTTTAGCTAAAGTGAAGATCTCACCATCTGACCATCCATATTGCTGTAAATTTCTGAAAGTCATCTTGGGGAGGTCATGGATATCTGGATGTTTTTTGAACATTAGCCAATACTGAAGAATCCCGAGTGACCACACTGTCGCTGGCTCCCCGAAGTAATAGCCAATCTTAAGAAACTCAGGAGGGCTGAACTGTATTGTGCCTGAAAGAAAGAGATTTTGTTTCCATTAGCACATCATATAAATTTCTTTCAGAAAATGTAAACAACAGTGTAGATCAGGGGTGCCCAAACCCAGTCCTGGAGGATCTGTGTCCTGCAGAGTTTAGTTATCCCCAAATAGACACACCTGAAGCTAATCAAGCTCTTACTAAGTATACAAGATATTTTCTGTCAGGTGTGTTGAGGGAAGTTGGAGCTAAACTCTGTAGGCCACCGGCCCTCTAGGACTGCGCTTTGACACCCCTGATATAGATAAACAACAGTGGATGTTTCAAGAGTCTCTCTCCTTAGAGCTTTGAAGGATTAACATACCTGAATACTCTCTGTAACAGGTCTTAGTAAGCCGATCACCACACCCAAAGTCAATCAGTTTGACTTCATATGTCCGAGGGTTAATCAGCAAGTTGTCAGGCTTGATATCGCGGTGAAACACTCCACGTTTGCAGCAGATGTCAGCTGCAATTGTTGCCTGGAACATGATTTTTCGTAACACCTTCTCTGCGATGTTGCCTCTGTGTTTCCTTATGAATTCACCTAAGCTCACACAGCGTATGGGCCGCTCTAGGACCATAAAGTATTGATCCGCCTCCACCTTCCAGTCCAGAAGCTCAACTATTTGTTTAGCCTTGGGGCCTTTAGTGGCAAGAAAGTGCAGAGCGATCTCCGCTGGAAGTAGTTTGTCAAAATCAACCTAGAAGAAAGAAAGTTGTTCAGATCATTTGATGGAAAAGTTATTTCCTGTTAAAACTGTTGACCACGTCCATCATAAAAAGCAGTGGGCAGATTATAGAGAGCAAAACAAAGACTGACACATTTTTTTTAAAGGAGAATAACTGACTTTTGTTTACTTAGCATGTTTCTCAAATATCTGCAAACACATAAGGGTATTTTTGTGCTTTAGAAGAGTCAAAAACTTACATACAGCACCTTTAATATGACATGATTAAAATAGACACAGTTAATCAAAGAAAAGAGCAGAGACTACTTACAACACGGATGTATCGCTTATTCTTGAAGTCAGCCATTTTTACTGCCACCTTAAGGCCATCTTCTAAACGGGTCCCTGCGAAAACGGTTCCAAAGCCTCCTTTGCCCAGCTTAGCACCAATTTTATAGCACTTTGAGTTGATCTCTGTGAAAAGACAAAGAAGAGAAGTTAATCAAATGTGTGAATTAGTGACAGTGCTGCCTTCATCTAAAACCACCTGCTCCATCAGGGGTCACCACAGCAGATGTAACCCCATCATCTAAACCTTTTTTATTCTGTCTTCCCTATATATATGATTATGATTGATATATATATTTCCATCTTAGTTATCAGCTATCCCTGAACAAAATGTGTATTACAGCCAGGTTAAAGTATAAAAGTAATGAAAGCACTATTAAAATATGCATGTGTGTTGGGTGAGTGGGGTGTCATGGTAGTAAACTTACCAATGATGTGTGCATCTTTATCCTTCAGCTCTTCTGGCTGAGGTGGAACAGAGCCCTCTGTCTGACAGGTTGCACCTTGAGCGACGTCATCTTTACAGCCGGGCTCAGCAGAGACCACATTTGGAGGGGGGTAATGACTACAGCCGGGCTCAGCAGAGACCACATTTGGTGGGTCATCATGACTACAGCCGGGCTCAGCAGAGACCACATTTGGTGGGTCATCATGACTACAGCCGGGCTCAGCAGAGACCACATTTGGTGGGTCATCATGACTACAGCCCGGCTCAGCAGAGACCACATTTGGAGGTGGGTCATCATGACTACAGCCGGGCTCAGCAGAGACCACATTTGGAGGTGGGTCATCATGACTACAGCCCGGCTCAGCAGAGACCACATTTGGTGGGTCATCATGACTACAGCTGGGCTCAGCAGAGACCACATTTGGTGGGTCATCATGACTACAGCCGGGCTCAGCAGAGACCACATTTGGTGGGTCATCATGACTACAGCCCGGCTCAGCAGAGACCACATTTGGAGGTGGGTCATCATGACTACAGCCGGGCTCAGCAGAGACCACATTTGGAGGTGGGTCATCATGACTACAGCCGGGCTCAGCAGAGACCACATTTGGTGGGTCATCATGACTACAGCCGGGCTCAGCAGAGACCACATTTGGTGGCTCATCATGACTACAGCCCGGCTCAGCAGAGACCACAATTGGAGGTGGGTCATCATGACTACAGCCGGGCTCAGCAGAGACCACATTTGGTGGGTCATCATGACTACAGCCCGGCTCAGCAGAGACCACATTTGGAGGTGGGTCATCATGACTACAGCCCGGCTCAGCAGAGACCACATTTGGAGGTGGGTCATCACCACAGCCGGACTCAGCGGACAGAAAATCTGTTGAGTGGTCTTCACCACAGCCGGACTCAGCAGACAGAAAATCTGTAGAGGGGTCATCACTACAGCCGGACTCAGCAGAGAAAAAGCTGCTGTAGGAGCTGGCTGTGAGCTCACTACTACAGCTAAATCCGTCTGAGTAAATGTCTTGAGGGAAGTCATCACTACTGCTGGACTCGTAGAAAATGTTTGGAGGAACATCACTACTGCTGGAGGAGCTGGCTAGGTCCTCACTGTGACCATCGACAGGCTCTACCAGTAATAATTCTTCACCGTGAACACTGATAGGCTCTACCAGTGGTTGTTCTTCACCGGGAACACTGTCAGGCTCTACCAGTGGTTGTTCTTCACCGGGAACACTGTCGGGCTCTACCAGTAATAATTCTTCACCGTGAACACTGTCGGGCTCTACCAGTGATTGTTCTTCATCGTGAGCACTGACGGGCTCTACTAGTGATTGTTCTTCACCGTGAACACTGTCAGGTTCTACCAGTGCTTGTTCTTCACCGTGAACACTGTCAGGTTCTACCAGTGCTTGTTCTTCACCGGGAACACTGTCAGGCTCTACCGGTGGTTGTTCTTCACTTTGACCATCAACAGGTTCCTCCAGTGATGGTTCCTCAATCGGAACATTGATCTGTTCCTCAAGATGCAAAGATGAATCTTCACACCAGTCACAGATTTCTCGACCTAAAGGAAGGAATAATACGAAACAAAAGATTTTAGTTTTACTTGATTTATATTTAGCCAGTGTTTATTATTAAAATGAATGAATGCTGTCAATTTTTAAGTGAGTTTTAAGTTCATTTCTTTCTACATTAGTTGTTATATATACATATATTTTGTATCCTATATAAAATAACCGTAAGCTTGGCAAAAAAAAAAAAAAACTATGAGAAAAGATTTCATGTTTTCCACTACAAATAACATTAAAACATTAAACATTACCATTTGTTATCCATTAAAACCACTGCATTGTGTTTTAGGACATATTCCTAAAGGATTTAGTGGTAAATTTACTAAAGTTACAAGCAAATTAAAAGGAAGAGACAAGGGATCTAACAGGGGTGTCAAACTCAAATCACATTGAGGGTTGTAATATTTTATTTATTAATTTTGTATGGCAGTAGACAATATTTCTGTTCATTTTCAAAACGCAAATTAAGATGTTTTAGGTGAATTCTTAGAACTCCTTCATCCTCCATAGATAGGAAGGGTCCAGACTCAAAGGCCAGAAAGTACCAAAAACATCCAAAAAACAGAGGAAGCCATACACAGGTATCCAGGGGTTTAATCAGTGCAAAGTGTTTGTGAACGCATGTAATATACCAACACTGAAGAGAATAAACTGTTGGATAAATTTGTTTATACAAAAGTATTTTCGTAGCTTGAAAATATACAGAGTAAACCACTGTAGGCATTTGGTCTGTTTGAGGATGTTTTGTGGTATTTTTATGTACTTTTAGCGAGTCAGGAACCTTGCTGTATATATAGGAGGAGAGAGCTATTAGAGTTCATCTAAAACATCTTCAGTTGTGTTCAGAAGATGAAGGAAGGTCTCAGGGTTTAAAGTGTAGTGAGGGTGAGTAATTAATTACACAATTTGCATTTTTGGGTGAACTAACCCTTCCATCTTGAAGCAGAGAAAATTATTTTGTCTTTACGGATTACGAATGCATAATTGAAAAACTTTATGCAAAGCAAAAATACTTTATTTAGTTTTTGTCTTGTTTCTAGTCCAAATATCAAAACATTAAATCAAGAGGCATTTTCTCATCTAGTAAAAAATATTGTCGTTTTTTAGAAAAAGGTCAAACTTAACTGAGTTTTCCTTAAAACAAGCTAAATAATCTGCAAGAGGGAAGTAAAATGTATTTCAAATCATTATTTTGCTTACTCCATTGGCAGATTATTTTGCTTGTTTTAAGAGAAAAAAAAATAGCTTAATTTTGACTCATTATTTCTGAAAACCAGACACTATTTTTGCTTGTCTAGAAAAAAAGACTCTTGATTTAAGAATTTTGAGATATCTGGACCAGAAACAAGATAAAAAATATTATTTTATATTATTTTTGGCACCATATTAGACATAATTTTGTGACGTATGTTTGACACCACATGTGTTTAAAGCAGAGCAGTTTTCATTAGGCCTGTATTATTATTCAATTTGTTTTTGTAAATAATATTTACAGTAAGGTAAAATAGCTGTACACAGACTCCAGTATAAAAAATCAGCTTCGTGTTCTTATAGCACACAACATTATTTACCATCACTGGTGGTCACAGGGGGTACCTTGACCAATCCTTGACGGTCGACTCTTTCATCTTTACCTGAGACGGTGGAAATGTTGTTTCTTTCTCTGAGGAAAAGAGCAATAACTCCGAGTACGGTAAATAACATGGTGGATTAATTTCCGTACACTTAAATATGAGAAATGTTAAATAAACCTACAATAAATACTGAAATTTACTGTAAGTAAAGCTTGTTTATCAGAGTAAGCCTTAATAAACCGTACGCTATCAATTGACAATATAAGAAAAGCAAATTATTCAAAGCAAACTTTGTACAACTCGTTAGATACTCGTCAAATAAAGCAATGGCGAAAGTTGGATTGTACTGGGTGTGTCTCCCAAGAATTCGAACGCGTTCCAACGTTTCTACAGATACGTGGTCAGATTTGCTCTGTTTTTCTTTGAGTTAAAAAATGCAATAGTACGCGGTTGCTTGTGTCCACGTGAGTTTTTGGAGCGAAATAAAACGGATTTTTTCATGAAATCTTTGTTTGACTCGTAAATGTTTGATGAATCATTACTTGTCGTTTGATGAACCAGAGATTCGTTTTTTAATCAGGGTCGATTTAAATACATTCACAGGTAAGATTTGTCGTAGCTCTTATTTCGCACTTCAAATATCAGTTATTGGCGACAAGCGCTCGTAATTGACATGAAACTCGAGATATTTTAGTGCATATCCATTAAAATCAGCAGATCTGCCTTATCAAGCTCCATATACACTGCAAATACAAAAGTAGCTAGGTAATAATGCTGAGGTAATGAAATGGCGTCATGTCTTACTGAGTGAATCATCTGATTAATCCATTTATGACGGAATAATAATAAAAACACTAGCCGTGTCCATAACTATTCACCAATTCACTTGTACTAATCTCTCCATCAAAGAAAAATAAACAAAAAACGTGTGCAAATTCCTGTTTGGCTTTATAAATTACTTTTTCATAAGAAGTGGCTGTTATTTGACAGCAAAGAGAAGAAATATACATGTTTAATAATAAAAACACGTATTTTTCCCATTTATATTATAAAGAACGCATATAATTGTATTTATTAAGAGTACTATAAATATTAATGAAGTGTTTAAATGATGTAAGTTAAATATTATATTTGTGTGGTTTCGTTCTGTGCCCTGGAGGTAAGGACTAAGGTGTTTCTAAGGAATGGTGTAAAATAAATATAAATTAGTGCTTTTAATAAAAACTAAAATGCTTTTTCTTTTTTTTTTTCTCTCTTATTTTCCTCACTCTTATCACTTTTTCATGTTGGACTCTACAAGGAATGAGAATACAAACTGGCCAAAAAGGGTCCTTATCTAGTAAGATTAGGACCACTTAGGGGCTTATCTTTGCTCGTCTGAGTGTCTGTAAGTCACTTTAATAATATTAAACTAAACATGGCTGTTCTTGGTTTAATAGGATGCTGAGGAAATATGCATAAAGAATGTGATGTGACTGAGAAAGGAACAAACCTCCAGGAACAAGTAAGTAGAGAGCTTATACTTGCATGTTTGTTGAGAAATGTTTTGAACATTCATTAAAGGGATCATAATAAAGACACAACTTTATTTTCTCTTAAACACAAAAGAAGATTTGTTGGAGGAATGAGGAAACCTGTAACCGTTGACTTCCATAGTGGGAAAAGTCAACGGTTCAGTTTGAAACCAGTGAAGGGTGTGTAAATGATGACAGGATTTTATTTTTGGATAAGATATACCTTTAACACGGCTTGTTAGGAGTATTATCTCATGAACACTTGATATTAATTGTGGAACAACAACAATATCTATACACATACACGTATTTACTGAACAACACATATAGATAACGTTTCAATGTAAACGTCATGTAGATATATGTATAATATTGTATATAGCGATATACTGTCAAGTTATTTTTTTTTCTCTATTCTCTTCTTTTTTTTAATCCTTTATTGTCTGTTTTTGTCCTGACACTCGTTCTGTTGCACTATGATCTCATACACTGTAGGAAAATGCTGAGTTCCAAACAATTAATTTGTATTTGGACAACGTGATTGACTTAAATGAACTTGGTGGCGCAGTGGGTAGCACAATCTCCTCACAGCAAGAAGATCACTGGTATGAGCTTCAGCTGCGTCAGTTGGCATTTCTATGTGGAGTTTGTATGTTCTTCCCATGTTGGCATGGGTTTCCTCCAGGTGCTCCAGTTTCCCCCACACATCCAAAGACATGCGTTAAAGGTGAATGGGATAAATTAAATTGCCTGTAGTGTATGTGTGTGAATGAGTGTGTATGGATGTTTCCCAGTGATGGGTTGTGGCTGGAAGGGCTTTCACTTCGTAAAACATATGCTGGATAAGTTGGTGGTTCATTCCGCTGTGACGACTCCAGATTAATAAAGGGTCTAAGCCGAAAAGAAAATGAATGAACATAAAACAATTAGGTTGCATCCCAAAAAAAAATCAAGAGTAGTGTTGTTTCAGCTCATGCCTGGCAGTAAATCTCTTTCACATTCTTATTTCTGATTCGGATTGAAATAAATGACTCATTACTATAAATAAATTACTAATTATTATTAAAGCATTGCGATATCAACATAACAATATCAACATTACAATATTTCCATAGATTGCAGATCCGCTAGTGAAAAGGTAAATATACAGTAAAGTATACAGTAGGGGAGATAAGTATTGAACACCTCACCCTTTTCCCAGAATATTTCAAAAAGTGCTAATGACTTGAAATTTTCACTGGATGTTGGTAACAGCCTAAGAAATCCATATATGCAAAGAAAACACGTCAAATTAGTTTACAAATTTAAATATGTGTAGTAAAATTAAATGACACAAGGAAAATGTATTTAACACATGAAGAAAGGAAGGTGTAGAAAGACAGTGAAATCCCAGACAGCAGCTGAAATCTCTCAGTAGTTCTTCAGCAACCCTCTGCTCTTCCTCTTTGTAAATGAATATTAGTGAATGAATATTAATATTTTATGATCTAAAATACAAAGAAACTCTCAAATGGTTTCAGAGCAAGAAAATCAAGCTGTAGAATGGCCCAGCCAATCACCTGAGTTGAATCCAATAGAAACTACAAAATAAAGATCAGATTTGATAGACAAAACCCACAGAACCTTTTTATATAAAGTATTGAATACATTTCAATGGTTCAGTACTTTCTCCTTGTGTAATTCCATTGCTATTATGCAAAACTAATTTTTCAGATTTGTTTCGGATTAAATTTTTCATGTCAACAGCTCCTTTAGAAATTTTATTCCCTGAAAAAAACATGACTTGTTCAATACTTATTTTCCTCGCTGTATATCACGTTTGATTTCTCAAGTCATAACCACTTTAAGTGATGCCATGCAGTGATGTATTGCAAAGCACAGCTGAAACAACCACACGATGGCAGCATGTTAAATCTGGGCAATTTATACAGAGGCACGTTTAGTCTTCTATATTCAGTAATCAAAGATTTGATTGTACATTTAATAAATACAGCAAGTTTGGGCTGTTTTTACGAACAGCGTACGTCTGGTCTTGTTGACATGATTATACACGTGGCTGCCGGAACATGTTAATGTGCGCTTCTGTCAATCAAATCAATCTAAAATCAGTTCCAATTGGTCCACCGTTTTTACGTTGTTAAATTGAAAAAAAAGGACTGGGTGTGTTTATTTCACACCAATATGAGGGTCTATACACTATATCTACACATATGTCTGTCCAAACAGTTTGAAAAGTAGATTTTTTACCATAGGTGCCCTTTAACCTTAAATCGCCATTGTCCACCCAAAAATGGACATTTACTACAAACCCTTAACACATTTATATGAACAAATTACTTTAAAACGTTCTGTCTCTTGAGTATTCGCTTGTTGTTAGTAACTTTAGCCTGCTAGCACCGCTAGTCAGCTAAAGCTACCGACTTCTTTTATTCACTCATTTTCTCACCTACTGGCTTTGCTCTTCACCCTGTACAATGTCACTTGTGTATCTGTCCTTGAGTGCATTAGAAGCATTGATGGAGCCGTTGGAGCTGGAGCTGGAAGCAGTCGAGTGCCAGACTCACGACCTGGAGATGAAGCTCTGGGAACAACAGCCCCGCGCTGCGGCTCACTCATCTGAGGTAAGTGTACGATACAATCTCAACACTACGTCTACCTCAACCCCGTGGGTTTCTCTGTCCAGGCCAAGCGCACAGAGGGCACGGTTCGCCCAGGTGACATTCACCCCGACACCCGGCTACCACGGCCCCTGGGTGCAGCCGTGTAAGGTGCTTACCAGTTCCCGGGGCAGTGCATCTCCCCCACCTGTGTTTGGGATCTCAACGAAGAAACGCTTCACCCCTCTCCGCGAGACGGTTGCGATGTGGCTTTCATCAGTGACTCCATCGTTCGCCACGTCTGCACTGCTTCCAACAAAGGTAACAGTTCGGGATGGTTCGACGTACCTCGCCTGCCACGCAGATCATTGTTTTTGGACCGCTTCTACCGCAGTGGAAATGAAAGGTTCAGTAGACTTTTTGCTCTGAATGAATGGCTATAAACATGGTGTAAAGAACAGAAATTGCTCTTTGAAAATAGCTGGAATCTTTTTTGGGAGAGTCCTAGGCTTTTCTGTGCTGATGTGCTGCACCCCAGTCGAACTGGAGCTGAACTCCTGTCGGACAACATCTCCAGGACGCTTCGTTCTGTCTGACTAGTAAGTAAAAATTCACAAAATTCACATTTTAGCCATATAGACTCTTGTACGCCCCACTTAAACATCAGTAATGCATGTCTGGCTAACCCCATAGAGACTGTGTCTGTTCCTCGTATTATTAGATCAAGAAATAAACATACTGTGTGCTCTAGAAAAAATCTATTAAGAATCAAACCAGAAAAACTGTAAAAAAGAAAAAATACAAATTTCGTAAAGCTTCGTCTCCTAAACATTAAGGACCTCATGTACAAAGACTTGCATTGAATTCATACTAAAACATTGACAAAATTAAAAATACTAAATACTAAAACGTTTAAAAATTCAGATGTATGAAACACTGCGTATGCGGAATCCCACGCATATTCTCTTTGTACATCCAAGTTAACAAGAAGCTGTGAGTGCAAAACCCCTCCCGCCTCC